GACATCGACGGTGCCGCGGCCCTTCCTTGGAGATGCTGGAAATGCAGAATCCGGCGACCGGCGGCGGTGGAGAGCGGCACGACGACCGGCGGCCGCGTGCGGATCGCGGCGCGCAACGTGCGGTTACGGTAACGGTAGAACCCATTTCGCATGATGGGATTATTCCGAATCGAGGAGGACTAATTGAGGGGGTCCAAAAAGAAGTAGGCATGCCGGAGGAGTGATTGCACAGATGATGTTTAGTTAGAAAATTCAGTACACAAGAGAGGAATCGAGTGATTAAACGGCAATAAGCGAGAGGGCTGGAAATTGAAGCTTGAAGATTTATGTTTTTGGTTAAAGGGTTAAAGGAAGTTATAATTAATTTGATATGAGTCAGGAATTGGCGAATTCTACATCATTTAGGTGCATAAGCAAACTCTTAAGAGCGTTCTAATTAGTAGATAGTCAAACATAATGGAAAAAAGACGTAGATTTGTATTATTATTGGTTCTTCTAAATCGAATACCTAACAAAAACAAAAATTAAAAAAGAAATATTGGGTGCAACTTATATTGCAATCAAGATATGTGAACGGTGCATTTTGTACGCTTTTCGATAAATTGCACGAAGATGATTTTGAATTACCTTCGTATGAGTCCACCAACTTTAGATTTTCTGGTAAATAGTTTAACAGACTTCATAAGAATCACCACCTAATGATAAGCAATTTATTGCTGCAATATATTGCATCGTGTGAAAACGCTCTTAGCAAATCCAACAACTGCATTGTACCTTGTAAACAAAAATGCCTATTTTACATTGCAAAACCAATACATACCTTACAAACCATTATTATTTTAACCATTAACCATAAAACAATCATCAATATAATTAAATTCAGTAATTTTAACAGTAAACTCGACAAATAAACACTACCTAATCATTCCTCAATCATTCCTTTTTCATTGGTTTCGGTTTCTTGTCCGACATTTTTGTCCCTATACTACTACTTAGTCGGAATCGAGAAGCAGAAGTGGAGATACCAGTACAGTGTACGTGGATGGATCGTAGTGGAAATATTTACACTACGAAATAAATTATAACAACGTCAACGGACTTCTTAGAACGACAACACCGGCCGTTTACTCATATAAGAAAGTGTTACATTTCATAAAAATTAGCGTGCCATCAAAATTCCATTCTTCCTATGACCTACGTAAACGCACCAAGAATTGAAAAAAATCGCAGTGGAAAATGAAGAAAGCCCAACGTGCGGGATATAATATTAGTAGAAAAATGGATAAGTACTCTTAAATTTCAGCGTATGACGGCTCTGCACGCATTACCGGACCACGTGCTCTAAGTAGGTACTTCTACATTATACCGACCGAGCCTCGAGGAAGGAAAGACGAAATGCTATCGGAACAATGCCGATCCACGAATATTTACGGTCGGCTTTTACTTTAGAAGAGAGCAAAGTTAAATGCACGACATATGCTGAAAGTCGAGAGCACGAAGGTCGGGAAGGAAAAAATTACAGAACACACATGTCGATATGATTGATATTCGAAAATGATGGATGAATGCGGTGTTCCGGTGCTGTCCAATTAATAACATCAAGTTATTGTTTCTATTTCTTTTGTTTATTAAATCAATAATATAAATTGGCGTTTGTACAGGATAATTTTTAAGTGCACAGTATAATGGAACAACCTATATGTTTTTAAAGCTACTGGAAAATCACGTTGTGCATGAAAAATGACTAAAGCAATCAATTATTCCATAGCAAATTCATTCAATTCGATTATTAAAGCCGACTTTCCGAGAAAAATATATCACAATGATTGACATTCCGCTGCTAAAGTTGCCGTGACAAGTCGGTGGATTTATATTTATTGTAATAACAATACCCGGAGCTGAAATCTCCATCTAGTCGTTTCTCGATGGCGAGATTGCAGCGAATTTAGCCCGACATTAAAATGTGTGTGTGCAGGTAATTAACTGGAAAAAAAGGAAGTTGTAAAATTATTGTGTATGTATACCTGTGTTTAATTTGCTCGCATTGTGCGGAGGTCAATAAAATGAGGAACAATATTTTTTATTGCGGTTCCAGGAAATAAACCGTGTACAATATTAAAAATTGCCAAGATGCGGTATGAAATTTGTTCCGAACTCGTTAATTTTATTTTTATTGTTTTTGAATTAGAAGTTTTATTGTTATATGCTTCATATTGTAATTACCTTTCATTTTAATTATTATTTGTTGGGGGGTGGCGGAAATAATAGAATTATTAAAAAAAAATTCTACAATTAGAATTATATAGATTATTTCTTTGAGTCTTTGTATGATCTTTCAGATATAGGTACTTACGTACTGTATAGGATAGGGTGTTAAAATATCTGGAGTAATAAGAAAATTATGATAGAAAAGATCTAAAAATGTCTATTTTTTAGAAAAAATTTTCCCAAATTCTTAAAATCATCTAAATATTCACATCCTGAAGTATCAGCATTCAATTAATTAACACCATTAATTGTATACACCAGAATTTTTAGCAAAAACTACATTCATTAAGTACCAAAAATATTACAGTTTTATCGTCGTTTACAAAGTTTTAATAATATGCAGTAAAGAGAAGGATTATTTTTCCAATTTTAAAAAAGATTTCTTTGACTAGAAACTAGAACTATCTACATACATTCTTTCTATTTTCTTGCATATATTTATTGCCATTTTCTAACAATTTTCGCCTCTATACAGAGCCCTTGTGGTATTACACAAAAATTTACTAGCGCAAAAAAATTCCCAAATGCCCGGCACCGTTATTACATTTTTCAATTAAAAAAATTAAGTTACCCGCAATTTAAAAACGCAATAACAACCAACTATCTCTTCGAATATATGCATGCATGCGAAAAAAGCTCAACCCGTTCCCCTTTTAAACTTCTGACCTTTAAACCCGCCAACCTATTTTGGATACGTCCCGACCTACATTCAGGTCAGCCGAGCGACCTGCCGTTGGGCGCGACTCCAGGCCACTCGACGAAATTGCCCGGAGCTCCCCGGAATATCCTGCTAAATACACGCGTGGAGACCGGCAAGGACGCGTCTGTCGTCGGCTAAATTAAGCGTGAGCCCATTGAAACGACGTGACAAACACCAAATTAAGAAATTTAACGAATATTAATTACGAATACATTAATATGCATGCACGTCGACCGTTATCTAATTGAATATATTAGGAAACTATTATGAATTGGCAATAAAAATATCTATAAATAAGAGGCTTTAATGGTATTATAGAAAGAGGAGTATTGGGGTTACTTAAAGGAATATATTTAAGAAGTACCAATGTTTATACAAAAGAGTTTTTGTATTTTTTTTAATATTTTTAAAAATTATGTTCATGAGTTATTTTAGAAGTTATTGACGCTCGTTGTTTATTGGGTTGCAATGAAGGTTAAGTAAAATTTGCTTGAGTACCTTGAACAAATAAAGTAGTAAAGCTTGTCTACATTTTAGATTCCTAGGAATCGAATGATAAATAAGCCTAATAAAATTAATATTTACTTAGATCAAATTTTCAATATAAATGCGCAAACATGTTACGAAGAAATTAAAAAAAAAACTAGTCAAAACACTCCTATATTTGTGCTAGATATGGTGAACCTATGTTGTATATACAAGCTTTTTCTCCAAAATCTTTTTCTTGCAAAAATATAGCCGTGGAAATGTCTAATACCGAGCCTATAGATTTTTTATATTGCGTGATTTTTCTAATAAAAAACCAATAAACGTAAATCACAGCGTCATTTCACATAACACCCTTCTGCTATAAGGATAATAATGTTATACGTTCGGATTGAAGGAAATTAAGTTATTATCTGGAAACCAGTGTTGTGGCAGAAAATTATTTTAATCACCAACCATACCTAATTCCTTTAGTTACAGAATTGATGTGGCGCAGTCATGAGGATTTGTCGCAATTATGAAAGCGGTAATGAAGGTAAAGATTTAAAAAAATACCTAAAATTGCATAAGGGATGAACCTATTATGTAAATAATCCAAAATTTATCCCTGAGACTCATGTGGAGAGGTAAAAAAGAGTGAAAAAATATGGAAAGTTACTTCCACAAATTCGCATAATGTGCGCGAAGAGCGTGAAAAGACGATAAAAGTGCGTGGTTATTCGAGATTTATTATACTCCGCGCTGCCACTGAGCAGGAAAACTCCGTAACGGATTTTCCGAATTAAATAGGGTCGCCACCCAATCGCTGTGACAATTTGATGGATGGCCGCACATTCTTAGATTCCTTCGGATCGTATATCAATGCTGAAAGTAATTGGCCGGTCTGCGCTTTTATACCTACGTTTGAATAATTATTGTAAATTGGCTATTCATCTTACATGTATGTACCTTGAGCAAATTTTTAATTATAATTCGCGCCAGTTTATAGAGTAATTAATATTTTTTATGGGCGCGCAAAGTGCAATCGTTTCGTAGAAGTTATTGTCCGTCCGTTTGCAGGAGTAATTTCATTCGTCATATGTGGCCAACGACGAAATCCAACAAATTTTAAATATTACATTCGTCGATGTCGAGGTTGACAAAAGGAGCCGCCAGTAGTTGATAGTCGATCTACAAGAGCGTTTGTTCATTCACGACGCAGCACGACGATCGTGTTTGCCTGATTTTCTTATTATTTGAAGAAGCGAGCCGCCCAAGAGGTGCCCATACGTATAAGTGCGCTCGTGAGAGGAATGTCGAAAAAATGCCACCAGACGTACCAATACGGACAAAACAGGACTCGAAGATACTGAAAAACGGTTACGTCACGATTTCGTACAATACCGTTTCCTAGACCCGAAGACCGCATAACGTCTCTTTGGAAAAAAAGTACTCAGCAATTTACCTCTTGAGCGAATAAAACTCCAAACATATTAGAGTAAATAGTTAGTACTTGCTAAGATTAGATGGTTAGTAAGAAGCGTTTCAATGCAGCAAGTATCCTTACCAAAACGATCTCGGCATGGCATTTAACGGGCTCGTACGCAACTTCGACGGTTTCGACTCTAACGATTTGCTTGCCTTCGATATCGGCCTTTTCCTGCAGCTTATCGATTTTTTCGTACACGATACTGCTGGCCGAAGAGCCGGCGTCTTCGGCGCTCGCATCGGCCTCTCGGGCGCCATCCGGCCGGTCCTGATCGCTCGCTTTCGAAGGCGGTGCGGTGTTCGAGGGCGGCGAATTGCCGTTGGGTATTAGCGGGGTTTTTTCGTCGGAGTTGGTCTCCGTTTCGAGGGAATTCGAATGGGGAGATTGCGACTGCTTGCGGCTTTGGTTGAATATGTGCCAGCTCGTGTCCGTATAGCGTAACGCCGCTTCCTGAAATTAATTAAAAACCAAAAATAACAAAAAAAGAAACGAAATAAAAATGAAGACCGCCGAGTAGATGCGAAAATAAATTAACGACGATGATTCCAAATGCGTTTTAAAAATAACATAAAAAGTAATTGTTGTAAACCTGCAATAATTCTCACTTTATATGTAGTAATATCGGAGGTAAATACACCGTTAGGTAACAATCAGAATTCTGAAACCAATTTCCGACGCTAAATAATCCAACAAAATGCGCTATCTAAACTTTCGTGACAAGCTCGGAGGCAACAGAAACAAACAAATCGTTAGCTTTCGCCTTATTACAGTTTTCTCGCAGCCCGACACGTTCTCCACCTAAAGCTACTCGTCTTATCGGGCAATTTTTCTCTTCTAACGGCGAGATGCGATGCTGCAATACCGACTTTGACAGCTTGTAATTCCGAACAAGAGTTGTGCTTGGCGAAAACGGTATAAAATTGTTGATGAAATGTGAAATTTGTGCATATTGTCGGTGCAAAACAAATATCAATGCACGTCACTACTGTCGTCATACTTGCCAAGTATTGTGTCCAACTTTTAAAAATAAATACACAAAATAGATTGAGTTTATTACTTGCAGAATTTAATTTAATATTAACTAGGGATGATATTAAAAAGCAGAATCAAATCATCCAAAAAAAGTATATTTTGTTAAAAATTGCTGGAGAATAAGCTCGAATTTATGCTTAATATACAGTTTGTTGTTATACTACAATTTAAAGAGCATATCTACATGGTGTGCAAAATTCTATAAACGAGTAGGTGAATATTAGAACTCCTGCATCCCTATATTCACAAGAAAAAAGTAAAATTTCTTGGGCATTATTCGCACTAAAAATAATTGTTAATAAATTATTTGTACTAGGCCATTTACGCCAAATTTTATATCCATAATGGATGTATTGCGAAAAAAGTCGAAAGGTCGACGTTACGTCGGTTGATGTTTTAATGAATTTCATTAATTAATAAAAACGAAACGGAGAATTTCGGCCCGGGGGCACAGTGCCGGCTCGAAAATTAAAAAGGAATTAGTCTCGGTTTTTTTTCAAAGGTATTTCGAACAATTGTATATTGTATTCAAATGGAAAGGAACAAGTTGATAATTATTAGTTCGCACTTGGGTTCATTCTCTCTAGAATTATGTTGTACTTAATAAATTAAACCAGTAAATAAAAATTAATTTTTCTCATGCCCAATTTTGACCAAATAAGAAACCCATTCAGTACTCTCACAAATAAGAAATTCCTTCTAGCCTAAAGGAAGCTATTGAATGTTCCTTATCAAACGAAGCTCGAAGCAAATTAAATCTATTTCTATTGTAAATTTATTAAACGTTCATTCGAGATAAACATAGTAAGTAATACGTAAATGGACATACTCACACGCTATTCTATAACGCAAACAGCTTTCTACTTATAGCAAACGAACGTCTAGGAAAATATCCAATGAGATAAATCTTTCACGGGCGATGAAATTCTAATTTATTATAGGTTTGTTTGATTACAAACGCCTCGTTTAATTTTACTCTAAATCACTAATGAACAGACTAGAGATTCTAGCGACTCGCTCGCTGCTTGAGCTCGACAATAATGACATTTGCTACCTTATATTAATCACTTAATTTACTGTCCTGTAAATTAATAAAGCCTCTACAGTTAAATTCCTTTTCGAAATTGACCTTTATGCATCGTCGTGACATTTAAAAATAAAAATCGTAAATGCGGTCTCCGCTAGATCCATTTGCAAATATGAAAAGTTTCCGGTCAATTACTTCACTAACTGTAGAAATTATCCCCGGGTTATCGTCCATTTTATGGTACTTAACTTCGCGAAAAACGTCTAAATATTAATGCTGTTGATATGAAGATACGGAAAGCCTTTTAGCTGTTTAGAAACTCTTCATTTTTCACGTATAGGCGATAAAATAAAACGAGGATATGTAGGTAATGTTACATTTGTCCCGGTTTTAACTATTTTACTGTAATTTATTTATTTTAAAACCGTATGCAGGATATTTCGCAATGAGGCTTCTCGCGTATTTTTATCAAGCATTGGCAGCATTCTCGCCGCCGATTTTACACTAATTCCGCAAAAAGCACTAAAACAAACGGCGAAAACGCTGTTACGTGTATAATTAAAACTTCCATTATTGTTCTAAATTTATCGCGACAAATTGCATCAGCTCCATTTAGCGTACATACGATAACGCTAACATACTGGGAATTAATGAAGGAGAAACGCGTTTGACGTTTACTGCGGCAAAAATCGACCTTCACGCCAATCAATTCGGATAAATGAAAATTTCACATTATACACTCTTTATTATTGCAATATAGGAGAAAATTAGAATTACACAGGAGTTAACATTAAGGAGCAAATAAATAGGAATAATTTTCAACATTCAATTAAATATGTCTCTCTTTAAATTTTAGCGTTTAAATTTGAAAATCTGTATAAATATCTTTGTGTATGAAAGCCAGGTGTATCAGCACAATGCACTTCTTGTTTTATTGCTTTACCTATTTATAATCCCGATAACAATATGATCTAAATTAAGTGTGTTTTTAAAACAAAGAGTTATAGCCATAAAACTATTATGTATATAGGTAGGTACGTACTTCTATGGTATTCCAAAATAGTTATTAACTAGAAATAGTAGGTAAATATTTATGTTCCTGTACTGAAAGTTTCAATGACAACACTAAGTTTACAAGGTTTTGTGCTAAGAAATTAGTTTAATGCAAGTGATGTATTTTTCAACAATAGTCTCAAGCACACCATTTAGAACTATCTAGGACTATTTAGAACGCTCCAGAATCAATTGGAACAGTCTGCAATCATGTAGAATGCTTCAGAAACATTTAGAACGGTCATGTTGACATTTCTTAGACAATGAGATGATTTGTTTTTCTAGTTTGTTGAAAATTTACCAAAAATTCATTTTAGTTTCCGTTAGTATCTTTAGTTTGTGAAATAGTTCCCAAAATAATTTTTATAATTGTAGGTACATATTCAACCCGTATGAATGTTTAATAATTGGAACAATAATATTGATAAAATACCGCTAAAATATGTAAATTTATCATATGAATATTCATGATGCGTTTGCGTGATATTCCTACAAGGTATACCGTAGACAAATACGGAAATTTTTTTGATTATTTTGTACACCCAAAATTGTTTATCCTATTTATTAAATGTAATTAACGTCACATACTAATGTATGTGACGTCACATACTAATGTAGGTAAATTTTAATCCATTTAGGCAATGATTAATTAATTATTTCGTCAAGTTGATTCATTATGAAATATTTTTTAACATGTTTTTGTCTCTTATAGTGTTAAAACATCTTCCATTAATAACATACATATTCAATAAATGTGATAAATGCATTCATTTATTAATTTAATGAAGCAATTAATTACAGTTTGATAGGGTATTAGCAAGACAGAAGTTGCAAGAAAAGAGCTACATCAAATATACAGCAAATTAGCAAGTAGTTATCAAAAAAAATTTATATTGTGCCAGCTTTACTGAAGGTATTAACACGAAGATTAAGAGGTTGTTGATTTCTATAGATAACTCGAATTTATATGTACATTTCAACTCTTACAATTAGAATAAAGTAATTTTATTTTCATTTATTACATTAGTCTGCAATAATACTTGTACAATATTAATATAATCAAATATTAAACTACACATGCTCTGCTTGTTTATCAAGCAAACACAGCTGCATAAAAAGCTTTAATAGTTTTCCAAACTTCACGACCTTGGCAGCCAATTTGTCTGACGGAAAAAAAATTTAGAAAATCAAACAACTCCTTCTACATTAACATTTCCATAACAACCGAAAAACAACACGAGAATAATGTAAAACGCAAACAAACTACCTTCTTTATGGTCTCCAATTCCTCCTTGGCTAGTTCCCTAATCCTGTTCTTCACGTTCCTCTTGTTCTGTCCCATGTTGTTGAACTTGGAGCACTCGGAATTTCGACGCGTATCACTTAGCACCTTTCACTACAGTCCTTTTTGTATCGACTGCACATTATGTGTTCAAGTAAAGTAAAATATTTGGATTAAATTCTAGAGATATAACCGGCGGTTTCGTCATTTTATCTCCGATGTTGACTTAACCTCTTTGCTTGTTAATAAAATTCGCTAATTACCAATAATATATTTCTGGCTAATTTGCATTTGTTTGGCATCAGTATTGCGGCTTATCGACTTGACTTTGGTTCTTATATGATACTTTTAGCGTTTAAAGTTCGCCGTCTCTTTTGCTTGGTTACAGGTGTTTTATTGTTAACGTGACGACAAATTTTATGTAGGCATATTATAAAAGTCAGGTACAAGGTTTTCGAGGTTTTTAATTAGATAGCTGGCGCGGCTACTGATACACCGCCTCATGTACTCAGATACATTTATTATATGTTTGTACTATACAGGGTGTTTATTAATAAGATGCTAATACTGAAGGGGGAGTTTCTTGGGCCCGTTTTAAGAAAAAAACTTCATATGAACATATGTCCTAAACCTAAAATTTATTATTACCTAATTTCTGCACAGCGGCTAATGCAGGGTGTGCGAAACGGTGTCGTAAGAAATCAAATTTGTTCTAAATTGATCGGGGTCTCCAAAAATATTGTTTATTCCAAGAGAAAGCAGTGGCGTACCACTTTTACCCTCAAAAATATTTGTCCTGAGTCCAGTGCGGACGCTACTGTTGGAAATAAAAAATGTTTTTTGATCAAAGAATGCTCTTTAATGCATAAACGCCGTACACCAAATTTTATAAAAATAATTAAAGTGGTATGGAAATGACAGTAAAAAATTGATTTTTTTCTTAAAACTTTAACACCCTATATCTTTCAAAAGTTAAGACGTTTAGGACAGGTTTATGACAGAATATGAAGTTTTTTTCTTAAAATGAACCCAAGAATCACCCGCTTCAGTATTAGC